GCCCTACGCTGATTTTCTGTCTTTCGCTCACAATCCACACATTAAAAATTCCTCTTTAACAACCTCAGAATCTTATATAAAATCCTAAAACTACACGTACCCACCTTTTTATACTTCTCACAAATGCTTCTTGCCCACCTTTCCAGCTCCGATCAGCAGCATTGTTACTCTTCAAAGATTTTTTGACAAGATCTTTGAAACCTTGAAAACAGACGAGAGCTACATCCTTATCTCTAAACCCTCCCTAAGTTCCAGTGGTGTAAAGATACAATGAGCTGCACATAAAGAAAGTGAATGCTTTTCATGTTATACAAACAACTGAAGAAAATGTACTTTTTATATTTCCAATAACAGCATTTTTTATTTTTTTTAAATGAAGAAGTTTACAATAATAAAATATGTGACTGATTTAAACCCAGCAGACGTAAAACAATGCAAAACAAAGGAAAGTTCATGAAAACATGAAAAAATAAAACTCTTGCATTTCACCCACATCAACGTTAATAAGACTCTTATTAAACACAGTGCATTTTCTTCACAACAGATCAGACATTCTTAGTTAGTTACAGGTTAGATAAACAACTGAATTCTTTAAAAGGAAAGTTACTGTTGAATTTTGTAAATAATTCAGTAATAACGTCTTCACTTGCAGTGGTGTAACGACTGTTTCCTCATGTCTTTGTTTTTCTTTTCTTCCAGGTATTTCTAGATGCCATCCATTCCACCAGTCCTGCATTCAGATACTTCACCAACAGCGTCATGCCTCCTCTTACCCAACTGAAGGTCACAGAACCAGATGGAATGGAATACATCAAAACTATGAGCAAGCTCATTTTTGCAGATGAGGACCAATAACTGCAGAAATGTTGCTCTTTCAATCAAGTAACCACTTTATCTGCAAACCTTGGCCTAAGTGAAAAGAATAGTGTTTGTTTTTTCCAATTTTAGCTTCTGTGGCAAAGGTGATGAAGTGAGTTTCATAAGAGGAGTTTGTAAAAAAAAAATGCAACTCCACATTCTATATTTGTCTGAGTTATTGCTTGTGGAGTAATATTTGATAAGGATTACGTATCTTGTTTTAAGTCATTCCACAACCTTTACATTAGTTTATTTCAACAAAGCCTTTATCTCACATTCCATATTTTTTCTGGGATTGCAGTGCTTCATGCTAGGCTCTTGCATTAGATTGTTGAAACTGAAAATTTTCTAAAAATGTACCTATGGGACTGTAGTTTGCTATTTTTAACACACGGAAAAATCTGTCCCATTTTAAGGCAAGAAGCAAAGACTGGCTGAACGATGGTCTATGTAAAGACCAAAAACCTGGAATAATTATTGGGTGTCACGTTATAATAATATCCACACATACATACAAAATTATGCATGTATGTATGTGTGTATTTGCATGTGGGCATTTTGCAGTTTTTACTTATAAAAGCAAAAGTTATCCAAACCGACCTGATCCTAAAGTGAAAAGCAATCGCTCCCTTTAAAGGTGCAAACACTTCCACAAATTGTGTTAGACATAATTTGTATAACTGTTTCTTTTTTTTTGTTTTTTTTTTTGTTAATGCATTCATGCCAGCTCCACTAAAAGCACAAATATGGGGGCAACGTTTCAAAGAAACAGCCTGCATTGCATCACTGCATCATGAGATGTTCAGTGTACTTAGTGAAAGGCCTGTGACAGGACGTCAGCCAAAAACAAATACAATACAAAGAAATCCAATTGAACTTTTAATCAAAGCTATATGAAACAAAGGGTTCCTGCAACTCCTTTCTCTTTCAGCAAGAATCGAACAGGGTTAGAAGTCAAAAAATGTTTACAGACATTTGTCTAATCCGAATTTTACTAATTTTAAGGTATATTTGAACAAACTGCTGAGACATTAAATTGTTGCACAAGGTTTCATGGATCAAAGTCTCAGTAGACAGTGGTTCACGCTGTAATGTTTAATTCAGTCAGGGGATTAGCGTGTCCTCTTCTGACATGAGTCAGGTTGTCTTGTCTATACATCTACGTCTTGCGTATCTGACCTATTTTTTGACATGCCTGACTGAGACTCTGAAATCCTTTCCTGATCAGGTGCTCTAATTCCTTTCCGAGGATCCTTTTTTTGGATTCAACTGCAACAAGTTTGGCCGTGTTAGCTCACAACCCTTTAAGATAAAAGCACTTATAGACATGTGAGCTCTTTAGAATGTAATGTATTATGTGGATCTATATTACTGGGATTTAAGGTGCTGCAACAAATAATTTTTCACATTCGGTCTGGAGAGATGACTTGACAACATTTTTTTCCAAGATATTTTAAATAAATCAAATGCTTGAGTGCTATTTTTTTTTCTTTTTGTGTCTGGTTTAATTATTACTCCAGTCAGTTTCGTGACCTCTGCTGCCGCGTCATATCAGAGTCCAGGTTCATCATGTACAGGTCATTGACCTGCTGGACTTTCATTCTGTCCTGTGAGTGGAAAATTCTTTAAATGCCATTCATACACTGGATGCCAAACGCCATGTGATTTAGTTGCAGTTCACTCTTTCCTGTCTAGTGGTTTATAGGATTTAGGTAACTATGTACGTAGATTAAAGGTAAATAGATGAGTTGTTGATCCTGTTAGATTATTACCACAAATGTCCTGAAATAGTCTTATTTCAAAACTCTTTTTCCCTAACAGTTTTGTATCTGAACCGAGGTATTTTTTGACAAAATTAATTTTATATCCAGGGCTGGGTATTGGTTGGTTGAGTTCGGAAGAGGACATTTCAAAAGAGGTTTTGTCACATTCTTTCATTACATTGTTTATCCAATCTCAATGATTACTAACCACTACCATATGCAGGGACAGTAACGTCACAGTGTGTCGTATACGTTCATAGTGCCAGTTGATGGGATAAGTGTCAAAATATGAGAAAATGAATCCGTTTTTGAAGGCTTTGCTGGTACATTTAAGTTTTGTTATATAAAAGATGGTTTAATTCAAGCAAATTACAATTTGTGATTGTCAGTTTTTCACTATAAAAACAGCTTTCATTTCAGTTGAAAATGTTCTACTTTAAATTGAAAATAAAAAAATCAGACAATCTAATTAGCAGACCAACCATGCATAGATTACATTTATAACTGCACAACATTTACACAAATAAACAAAAAAATCTTATTTTGCCAGGCTCGCTAGGGTAAAACAGGCACAGTACTACCAAAAGAAGTGACTTATTTTGTTTTTTTATTTTGACATTTTTCTTCCTTTTATCTATAAATTACTCATACATGTGCATTCAAAGATAAAGTTTATCTTAGACAGACTTTTATATTATGCTGCAAAAACATTGAAATTGTGATTTATGACTACTTTTGGAATTTGTGCGTATACCCACCTTTTTAAAACGTATCATTTAAAAACCACCCATGCGTATTCTGATTGGTCAACACCGATGACGGGGCGGCGTTACGTAAGACATTTCCTTATTTGGTAGCATCGACACGCCCCATTTGTGAGTATAAGGCGCTCGCGCAGCAGCTGCTGGCATGGTTTTACCGGTTAGTTTGTGAAACGAGGTATTTGGTGTAAAAATACAGAATGACCAAAAGAACGACTTCTCTGCTGTTCAAGGCGCTGGTGGATATGAAGGACGGCACACTTTTAAAGGCTGTACGTGGAAACAGCAGAAGAGCACACTTTAGGTGAGTGCGACTTTTTCCACTCGAGATGCTCCTCCTAAGCATTCATTTTCTTTTAATGATTTTGCTTCATCATCTTAAATCTTGTTTCTTTATTAAATAGAAAGTGCATGGAGGAGATTAAATAACTTTTTCTTTGATTTATTCAAAGCATGCATTTGCCATGTTCACAATTTAGCAGATTATAATTAAAGCGAGTTTATTTATTTATTTTTTTTTCAGTTGGTGGTTTACTCTATTGAGTAAATGAAATAAGTAAATATCCTCTAAGGGGTTATTCTGAAGTATTAGCCACAGACTTGACGTGAATGTGTTCAGAAATACATGTTTTCTTCCACTTTAGACACTTGGGATCTTGTGGGATCCTGACAGAGAGGCGAGCCAGCCTTCAGCTCTGCCCTGCAACCCCCATGAGGACAACCAGGCGCACCTTCATCAGCCTGGCTGCTCCCATCAACACCCGCAGGATGGAGTACACGGAGAGCAGGATATTGGAGTGAGTACCAATTTAAACAGTTTGAAATGATCATAGTAATAATAATAATAAAAAAAATAAATAATCTTGTTGGGGCTACCATCTATTATTTTGTAACCATATCAAAACCATGAAACATTCTAACGGAAAGGGATTTAAATTAATTAGATGATTTGCTATGTAACTGTGTGTCCAGGTACACTCCAGAAGAGATGTACAAGGTGGTGGCCAACGTAGAGGAGTACAAGTATTTTGTTCCCTGGTGCAAGAAGTCTCGAATGCTGAAGGGACCGAAGGGAAACGTCCGGGCAGAGCTTGAAATTGGTTTCCCTCCCATCACAGAGCGTTACACATCTGAGCTCACTTTTGTTCCTAACCACCAAGTTAGAGTAAGTCCTTAGATTGACTGGGATTTTTATAGTTTAAAATGTTTTTAAATCGTCATTAATTTACAGTTATAATGCACAATGCTTCTTTTTAATAGTTCTCATGAGTGGTGTAGTGATTAGCTTGTTAACTTTCAGCATTGACACATTGCTTGTGTCCAAATCAGGCGGTGTGCTCTGATGGATCACTCTTCAGCCATCTTGAAACGGTGTGGAGGTTTGCCCCTGGAGCCAAAGACCTCCCAGGATCCTGCAAAGTGGATTTCTTTGTAAGTACTTTTCTGTGAATAAGATTATTCTTCTTCTTTGTGAGTTAAGCAAAGACCAGAAAATATCCAGAATGGCTATAAATACTTAAAAGGGCTCGGACATTGATTTAAAGGGAAGAAATTAAGAGATCAGACTCCATTCCTTGGAGTTGTTACTTTTGATCTTTTCTTTCCGTACTGTTGTGAATGGATTACTGGCGGAGAGGAAGTGTTGAATGAAATCTCATTATGCTCTAAATTTAGTGTAGTGCATCGTTGCTGGTGTTGTGTAAGAATGCAGCAGAAGTAAATGTAGCGCATTAAGGAGCTGCCAACAGGAGTTTGGCCTCAATGTCGGCACTGATTACACCAAGATTAACCAGAAACCAGTTCGTGTTAAGCTTGGAGAATCTTTGGCTTCTGATAGTCCTGAACTTCCGAAGCCTAAATATCATTCAAGGATGCAGATTTTGTGATCATTTGTAGTTTTTAACTTTTGAAGATTTTAATTTTTCTTTCTCCTGCAGGTGTCCTTTGAGTTCAAGTCTCTGCTGCACTCTCAGCTGGCCTCCGTGTTCTTCGACGAAGTTGTGAAGCAAATGGTCAGTGCCTTCGAGTCCCACGCAGCGACTCTTTACAGAAACAAGCCAGTCGCTTCCTTGAGGAGCCGTGCAGCTATTAGCAACCACCTCTGACCTCTGCAGTGTCCTTATCCTCCTGGGCTACTACCAAAACCAAAACCTCATCATGCTGCTTTGACTATGGTCAACACTTGACTCTCGTCTGAGACCAGTTCTCCTGTTTGCACACACCTAGATATTTTATTGATATGTAAATTGAACATACTCAAACTGTATTTATTTTTGAGCCAGATTATAATTTATTTACATTTCTGTACATATTTATTTATTTTTGCTGACAATAATAAATCAAATAAAAGTTTTTGTTAAAACTCCTTTGAGAACTGATTCTGATCTTATTTTTTATAGTGTAACTAGAACTGTTTGTTGTCCAGTGACCAATCACAGCATGACGCCAGTAAAGAAACAAAGGTCAGGTTATCGCACTTGTAATCTTTACCATTTAACTCGTTGTTGGGTAAGCATTCAAAGAAAAGGGGGGAAAAAACAACTGTTTACAGGAATAGTTGGGAAAAGGTTGACCTGTCTCCCAACTAATTAGTGCTTGAACACAAAGATGTCCATCCTTAGTACTAGATTGGATTTTGTTTTTAGGAATATTCACAAAGAATGTGTTATTTAGTACTTTTTCCTTTTTCGATTAGGTTTTAAAGTGAGAAAAAACTGACAGGAAGACCTGATTGGGGTTTATGATAAGAACTATAAGTTCAGAAATAGTTCAAACTGACATGCACAATAACTTGACCTACTTCTTTAAAAATTACCTGCTGTGGGAGGAAAGTGTTTGAATTTTAGTGGGGTTTTCCAAAATCAATCAACATGACAGGCAACAGTTCCTGGAGTTTTGTGAAACCGGCTTTTACGCTTTTACGTAACATCACATGCAGCCAGCAGGCATAAAAGGCTGGAGACGTCTGAGGAGAGGAGCAGAGACTTAAAAGCAGCAAACATGAAGAAGATTGTTATTCTGATGCTAGCATTCGGCTTCTGTCTTTCTGATCCTGGAACTGATGAGAATCACAGAGTCTGTCAGACTGCAGGCTCAGCTAGCTGCTGTGACATCTGTTCTCTCACATCTGTAACTCAAAAAGTGGGAGAACTGGGGGAAAAGGTTGTAAATATGGCAGAAAAAATTACTTTTCTGGAGACCAGGCTGCAAAACGCTGAAAAAGAAGTTCTGGAGTTACGGAGCCTCACTGCAGGTAGAGTAATACATTTTCCAGCTTTATGGTGAAATATAATCACGTCATGTCCAGTTTTCCAATGTATTTGTGGTGCTTTTGATGTCTTCAGGCTCTCCTCAGGTGGCTTTTTCAGCAGCTCTCAGGGATTCTGGTTCTGGAAACATAGGACCTTTTACCACCGCTACCCCATTGCAGTATAAAAAGGTTTTCTCCAACACAGGCAATAGCTATAATCCTTCAACAGGTGTGTACAGCATTAGGAAGACATGTAGGCAAATAGAAAAAAAAAACAAAAAAACAGTCAAATCCATATTAAGTGGTATATTCTTTTCAGTTTTTCTAATCCTTCATATTTTCACAGGTATTTTCACAGCGATGGTCAGTGGAATGTACTTCTTTCGGTTCTCCATGTTCAACAACCTGGCTTCTCCTCCCAACTCGGTTGTGAGCCTCATGAAGAACAGCGAACGGCTGACGTCAGTGTGGGACACCAGTGGGTCT